AGCTGTGAATGAAACAGGCCAGTGGAGACTTTGCCAGTAATCCTCCCCTTCAACCCCACCATACCCTGTAGGAATAAGGACAGGCTGAAACAAAAGGCTTGGCAACACGAGTCTGCCACAGCCATTGAAAAACCTGAGCCATCCAAGTCAAACACAGCTTCTGGACTTAGAAACCATACCCAAAGCCTGCCCTGGTTGCATTGCTTTGTACCTTCACCGTTTTAATGCCAAGCTGGGCTGCTGCTTTTAGGTTCTGGGTGCTGTTGTCGAGGAAGATGGTTTCCTGGGGCTGAACGCCCAAGCGCTCCAAGCACAACTTGTAGATACAAGGATCTGGCTTGCGCATTCCTTCCCGATAAGATTCAACCATCTATGGCAACAACAAATGGATTATGCATGAGCCTACTGTGACCACAAACATCTGTGCAGTGTTGGAAATGGAGGATGGGAGGGTGGAAAAAGAGACTGACAGTCTAAGTAACATGTGAAATAAAGGACACGAGGAATGGAGGGCTGACAGAGCTGGATAGGACGCGATTCAAGTGACTGCGTGGGTGCCAATTGCTTGGCTGTGGCTCTGTCAACTCAAATAAGCTAAACTGGCTCAGCCAGTCCTTGGATGGAAGATATCCAACGAGATGTCACGATGTGGGAGACTCATCGGATGTCCCAGACTGTGCTGAACCAATTGCTCAATGCAATATTTCACCCCTGCACTGATAGACACTCTAGGAATAGAAATGAATCTATTAGATAGACATAAAAGCCAATCCTAATGGAAATCCACATTCAATTTTTTTTTTTTTTTACTAATTACTGTGCAGTGCTGTTGCCTGCTGTTACAGAAGAGCCACGCTGCATGAGTGATGACACCGGATAGGCCATGGTTATTAGAGTGCTTTGAAACAGTCTGGGATGAAAGGTACTACAGAGCGTCACAACAGAGCATCACTCCACTAAGAGAACTTCATAGGCACTGGTGTCACTAGTATAATGCACAGAAAGCCGAGTCGATAATGACATAATGTTGACAAAAGGACTTTAAACAGTCCCAGGCTTTAAATGTATCACTACGACTCTTCTTTGGATATTTTGTTGTCTCAATCAAGGCTATAAAACAAACTTAAGTCATGAATAAACTCCTGAAATTCAAAGATGTGAGTTGGGGAACACAAAAAAGCAAATTTTCTGTCATGCTGAGGCGAGTCCTCCCAGCTGCCTGTTAAAGTGAAGCCACTCGAACCAACCTCGAGGTTCACGGCTAATCTTCTGCTTCATCTTTGCAAAAGCGAAGCGTGCTGGGAGAGGGGTCTCTGCCTGCTCATCAGCTCAGACAGATCGGCATGTTGGGGTAGTGGGATTTTTCTGATATGGGGGATGCTATTCAATTCTTTGGGATTAAACAAGCTTTAAAAGAGTAAGGACTAAATATAAAGCAAGCAGGGGCACTGGGTAATAACATTTATTTCTTGTATAGTGTTCCACTTCTAAGTCCTTTATCAACATCGCTAGCTATGCCTGTTACCCCTGTTACACGTATACTTGTGGTTGCGTGGGCATTTTGCAATGAATTGCACAAGTGCCTGCCACTCACTCAGACCCTCTTCAAGGCCCAGTCACTACAACGGATTATGCCCGGGCACATTTTCACAGACTGTTACATTTATGTCTACTAATACGTGCTGCTGGTTGCCGTTCATTTGGTACCTGCATGTAAAGAATTTCAGTTGCAGCTTTCTATAGACCTAGCTACAGAAACGCGTTTTGGAATCCATCCAGGCTTACCACATCAAAGTGCTTTCGGTCTAGGGGCAGAAAGCTCCCTCCATTCAGCAGACAGAAGCTGTTGCTTAGAAGAGCCGTCTTAAGACCTTCTGCACGGATACACTGTACTGCTTCTGCCATTATGGGGAGCTGTTTTATCATCTCATTTCTGATTAAGTCCGAGAGAAAAGAGTCCACTGGAACACAGACATTTGCCTAAGAAACCAGAGAAACACCCCACCCCCCCCCAGGAATGATAATTAGCCATAAATGGTTTTTAAGCAGGGAGGAAAATAAGAGGTAGGTTGCCTGATCATCTTATCTTGCTGTCCTACTTCCTTTGGCAGCAGAAGGCAGTCAGTGAATCTCCCAGCTAAATTGCTCAGACCAAATAAACAAGCGTTCTCACATTACTAGTTCTACAGAAGCAGCAGCAGAGATAAAGGGCTGATCTGGGGAAAGAGAAATGCACTAGGACTGTGCCTGCCATGGAGTCAAGGCAGGTTAGAGATAAATATTGCTTTACCATTCAGCAGGCAGGAAAGGAATCTGCGTCTTAGACTGAGCTGTTTCACAAAGACTTTATTCAAGAGAGGATTCTTGCACTGTGCTCCTGGAGCTGTGGCGGAGGGGCTTCTACTGATCTTAAGAACCCTTGCTGGAGACCATGGCCTCCATCCATTGAGTGTGCCCATGTGCGAACTAGCAACAAAAGCCTTTTAGCTGATCTCTGACTCTCTGACTTCTCATCTTGGCTGATCCTAGAGGTGTCTCGAAATAAAAAAAGTTATGAAATATGCAGGAAGAAGCTGGTGGAAGTGAAGGCAAATTCAGCTGACCATCCTGCCTGGGTACCAGAATGATGATGGCGGTGATAAGTCTGCCCTGATCAGACAGCAATGCTTCCTAGATGGTAAATCCAGACCCTTCCGTCAAAGGATTTCTTTTAAAAGCTCCTCTTTCCTCACTGAACCACCACATCGCAGGATCCCGTTTCCCTGCAGACAGGAAGCAAAAAGGGAGGAGGGGGGAGTTGGCTTACAATCTCAAAGCACTGCTGTCCCAATTCCTGCAAAAACTCCACAGTCGTCAGCTCTCCTCTTGTGTACTTCAGAGAGGGACTATTTTCCCCTCCAGAGCGTATAGCTTGCTGGATGGTGCCGGCTGGAATACAATTCTGGGCCTCCCAGTCTACATAGAGAAAAGTAAGAAAGCCAGGAGAGAGCACATATGGCATCATTAGAACAGGGAAATTAGCTTGAAATCCCTCTGAAGTCTGATACATCGACCAGCACTCATGAGAACCGACGTGCTGGACTGGGGTAATTTACCCAGACACAGAGAGAAGTTTGAGCATTCCCCCAACTGAAGCACCTCACCTCTATTTTCGGTGCGGTACCCTTGGGGTGAAAACACAGAGTTCTTAAGCTGTCCTGAAGGACTGTACCAACGTTGGGTGGTATCAGCCGGTGTCATTACAGGACAGTTTCATTACCAGATGGGTTCAGGCCCTGATCTGGAGCTGTCCACGCGGTTGCCGGTTGCTGTCAGTTCTAGTACTTCTGATGGCACAACAGGGTACCATTGTCGTCATCGCAAGTTCTTGAATATCTTACCAGAACCAGAGGCGGCTGACAGGGACACCTGAAATTTATTTTCCCTCCATGCATAGAAACAACAGGAGCAAATGAGAAATGAGAATACACACCCGCGGCTGTCTTGCAAGGGGACGGGAGGAGCACTCCACTCGCGTCAAAGATCACGGCTTTGTAATGGCACCATCCAGATCGCCTCCGCCGGATTAACCCCTGCGGGTGCTGCCGGATCCCGGCACAGAGCAGGTAAGGGGCGCGGGCAATGCTCCTCAGGTACATGCTGTGGAAAATTCGCAACTGGCCCGTGTCGACTGAGGAGAGAGGCTAGGACGCAAAGTATAGAACTACAAGGGTAAATAGTTATTTGCACCCATGAAGTCTCCCAGCCAAATTGGGGCACCTGAATGTGGTTTTACGCAGGGTCCTTATACCCTTCAAATGATCAGGTACCACACAATTTGACTAATCACTAACACCCACACTCCCGATTACTAATCGTAGCAAAGACTTTGCAAAGCGACTATATTTTTGCAACATTCTTGTTGCTTGTCTATTGATCCAGATGTCCCTGGAGCGAGCCTTGCTATAGTTATTTTTCTATGACCCAGACGATGCTGAGAGGGTTTCAAAGACGTGGTAGAGGGGCTATAGGATGCCGGCGTTATCTTGATTAACCAGGGGTATCCTTTATCCTTCACGGACAGCTCTAAGCCATGAAGCAAAGTCCTTATTTCCAGGGCTGGGCTGCCCTTTAGTTTCTTTTACTTAAGCAGGAACCATACCAACGCCTGGCACGGCCCAGAGCTGCAAGATACCAGCGTGGTGGGTGTGAGGGGAAAGGAAGAAAGGGGGTTTTAATTTTAGGGGGGGGGGGGGGGGGTTCGGCCTGAGGGGGTGGGGGCCGCGCC